CTGCTATTATCTTGCAACAATACTAACATATTTGGTACGAAAGTTCGGAAATCATCGTTGCATCATTTGCCGACCATAGAATATGATTGTTTTGATCAAATGGGAATGGATAATATTTCGATGTCACAAAATTATTCAATTTTATTGAATAATTCAATGAATAAAAATTCAACAATAGCAAATAATATCATGCAAATGCAATCAGAAGCATTTAAAAATATTTATCAGGAAATAAAAACTGATTGGGTATTACAACGAATTGATAATTTTAATCCGGATGATAAGCGAGAATTCAAACAAGTTTCTTTTTCACTTTTTTTTTAAAAAAAAATATAAATTATAATCTAGAATATTTGCAAATTATTAAATCATTTTCTTTAATAACTTCCAAATTAATCAATATCATAATTTAAAATGATGAATTTTTTCATTGCTTTATCAATAATTTTAAATTTATTCTATTCCAATTTTAAATCTTAATGTAATATTTTTTAAAGCTCAAATAATTACAGCGTTATATGTCTAATTTGGAATTTTACAATAATTCTGGTTTGGCATTTTTAAATCTTGGTGGTGAGGATAGAATTACTGGATCAAAGATTGGTTATGCAATGAATCCATTGCTGATATTGGCTAAGAAATATGGCGCTGCATGTTTTTGTTTAGAACATCGTTTTTTTGGAGCAAGTCAACCATTTGAGTAAGTAATTCATAAAATTTACTAATTACTATGTCAGTAATTAATTTTTACAGTAAAAAGCTAACATATATGCAAGGAGGAGCAATAATTTTCGTTACATTTTAGATTATCCTAAAATTGAAATATGAAATTTCAGAGATCTCTCAATCAAAAGCTATAAATACTTAACAATAAATCAAGCATTAGCTGATATAAAAAATTTTATTGTTCATATGAACGAAGTGTTTTTCTCGGGAATAGAAAAACCACGTTGGATACTATTTGGTGATTCCTATTCTGGTAAGTTAGTTGGTTTTTATTTTTCAGTTTTTTAACAATATGAAATGAAATAAATGGTAAAATTATAAAATATGTTTCGTATTAACTTTTATCAAGTTTTTAATCAAATTTTTAAACAGATCAAAAAATTTGAGTACTTTTTTCTTTGAATTAATTTTTTGTATATGAATTTCAGGTGCACTTGCAGCATGGTTTCGTGAAATGAACGAAGATCTTACTATTGCAGCAATTGTATCATCTGGTGTGGTTCAAGCTGAAGTCGATTATTATGGTAAAATTAAATAGATTCAAAAAAAAAAAAAATTACGATCTAATCCTGTTTTTTTTTTTTTTTTTTTTGAAGTTTTAGAATTTAGAAAGTATAAAATATTAATTGTTTAGATGAGATTAATTTTGTCTTGTTAAGGTGCAAAAAAGAAAAGAAATATTAATCTAGCTAAAAAATAAAATAGAACTTTTTTTTTTGAAAAAAAAGGAAATTTCAGATCATACCAAAAATTTGGAATATGTATTGAAGGAGGAGAATGCACCGTGCGCTGAAACTATTCGATTGGGTATGAAAGCACTGATTGAAAAAACATATACCGCAGATGGTAGGGCAGAATTAGGAAAGGTTTTTAAGTGAGTTTTTTTATTAAAATTTTTTCAATTCAATCCCTAATCTTTTCTTTCCTTTTTCTTTTTGATTTTTTCAAATCTTTGATCGATCCTTTCTCGGTTATTTTTTTTTTTTGCTATCAATTTATTTAGATTATTTTAATTTTCAATTTATTTTTTTTTTTTCTTCTGCAGCATGTGCGTACCATTTACGGAGCCATCAATATCAAAAGATATACAACTTTTTCTTGCAAGTGTTTTGTCTTTATTTGGTGCTTTTATACAGTATGCAGGAGGATGTGTAAATTTTTTTATTTGTTTTTTTTTTTTTTTTTTCAAAAATTGTTTACAAAATTTTATTTACAAAAGATTTCAGTGAAAAAAAGAATTGATAAAATTGCAGCGAATTCCCGATGTGTCTTATTTTTGTAATCTAATAACGCATGGTGGTGACACAGATGGTATTGGGATAATTTTGAATACCTGGAAAATTCATGATCAAGTATTTCAATCTGAAGAATGCTTTGATCAAAGCTATGCAAACCATTTGGAAAAATTGAGTGATATCAGTTTGGTGCATAATGAATTTGGTTACTTTTATTTGTTTGATTGAAATTCGTATTGTTTAATATAAATAATAAATGAAAAAATTAGACACCTTTAATTATTTTTTTCTTCTATTGAAAGCAGTAATATGTAATAAAAGATTTGACAGATTTCAGAAAGTTAAATCTAAAATTTACACGGAAATACTAATCTCTTTTCTTATTTTGTGAGCTTGATTGCTATGATAATCAATTAATTTTAATTTTTCAAACCAACATAAAAATGATATCATTGATAAGCTGATAGCTATTATTAAATTATTTAACATCAGCTAACACAATATTTTTGCTTTCTGATTTGTTGATCATATTAAATTTTTTTCCTAATACATTGCTTAAATTTATTTCTGTAAAAATCAAAAATTTTTATATTTTCAACTTTAGTATCGTATCGTAGTTGGCTATGGCTTTCCTGTACAGAACTTGGCTTTTTCATTACAACAGACAATGGAAAAAGCATATTTGGATCATCTGTATCACTTGAGTAAGATTAATTACTAAAAAAAAAAAAAATCCATCAATTTCTTTTTGATCTATTTACGAAGCTTTCTACTTCTTCATTTTTAAGTTAAAAAAATATTTAAAATTATTTTTCTTTCTAGTTTAAATAAAATTTCTTAAAAATTTAATATTCAAATAAATTAAACATGTTTCAAATTGCAGTTATTTTATCGATAAATGCATGGACGTATTCGATGTGCAGTATGATGCGGAACGTGTTCGTGATGGCGTACGCAATACATTGCGTACATTTGGAGGTTATGATAATTATAGAGTAGGTTACTGTATTCCTTGGCTACAGTAATCATACAGCATGAATTTTGTTTTTATCTTGTATATTTATGAGAAGTTTTCAAGGGTAGCAATACGATATTTGCAACTGGTTCATATGATCCATGGAAATCAGCTTGTTGTTTGAATTGTACTGATATTACAAGAAATGTTTACTCTTTTATAATTGAAGGTAAAATTTATTTAATTTTAAATTAATTAATCGATTGTTTCATTAACTTAGAGCAAACGAAAAAAAAATTCCCATCGATATAAATACCTTGCAACATTTTAAAAATATTTTCTAGTCTTATTTTAAAATTTCAAGAAAATTTTTCTAAATTAGGGTTATAACCGATTTTATTGATTGAATAAGTTAAAATAATTATTTTCTAAGCTAAATTATTGCTAAAAATTTACTATTGTCTATATTAACTAGAAGCTTTTCAGGTGGTTCTCATTGCATTGACACATGTCCTGTCAATTTCATCAATTTACCAGCATTAGATGATTATCGAATATTTCTTGATGAAAAAATAGAAATGTTTATTGCGGAAAGCTCTACAACCAATGATAGTTACAATAGCAAAAACAATAATAGCAATAACAATAAAAATTAAAACAGCGCAACAATAACATTACTTTAAATTTGGAATAAAGTAAGAAATGAATATTTTATTATGTAATACTTTTTGATGTTTGTAACAAAAACTATAATATAATTTAAATTTCATAAATTTCACATTAAAGCCATTTAGGCACGATATTATATTTACTAATAAATGAATATAAAAGCATATGAATAAAAATAATTTGTAAGCCATTTTCATTTCAGGTTCCATTAACAGAATTGCTCATTCAGTTGATCATATTTTAATGTAATTCAATTTATAAATATTAAGAAAAAAGAAATTTGAGAAAATGCCGTCATTGTGTGAAATTTTATTGTAAAATTGACCAATAATTGATTAAATTGAGTACTAATTAAAAATAATTCAGGAATTATCACTAATCATTTTCAAAAATAAAGAGGAAAATTTTTTCAATCAAAAACTTTTTAATTTCAAAAAATTATGCAAAAAGAAAAGAATACTTTTTCTGCTCTAAAAAAAACTAAATTTTTAACGATGAATAGATGAACTTAAATGAAATGACTGACGCAAATGATTCGTTATCAGTTGTTTCTTATTATTTATGATAAAGTTATTTCCTTGCTGATACGGTAATTTCAGTAAAAATAAAATGTGTAATTAATAAACGATCATTTCTTTATTGATTTCTGTAAATTTAACACAAAAAATTAGTTGCAAAAAAAGTTGGTTTTCTCTTTTTATCTTCCTTTCATGTTTTTATCATATAAATTTCTCAAAAGTATCATTTTTTCTTTCAAAATAAGTTATGCATATATTATTTATTTATTCGCAATACTTTTTCATATTTTTTTGTAAAAGATTAACTTTGTCTTTGTTTTGATGTGTATTTTAGAGAGTGTAATTTGAATATTAAATGCGATAAATGTTTTTTTTTAACGAATTATAAACAAAAGAATGATTGAAATAAATCATTTATAAAAAGTTAATTGATTACATTTATAGTTTAAATTAAGATTTACTAGGAAAATGTGTAGGTAGTATCGATGGCCTTTAATATTAACAACATTTATATCAGATTAATGTAGTTTAACATTTTTCTTTTTTTATCAATTATTTTAATGATTTCAATTTACAAATAAATATTGTAGAGTAGGAAAATTGATAATAACTAATGAATAATTTAAATCAAAAGGTTATTTAATTACATTGCTGAAATGATCGAGTTATTGATAACTTAATAAATTGCTATTAATAAAAAAGATTGCGATAAACTTAATAAGTGATGAAAGTAAGTAAGATAACCTAACAGCTTATTTGAGAAAAAATTATTATTAATTCCGATGAAGTTTCACATTACAAGTGAAACTTACTTATCAAATTCAGCATGCAATCATCTGTGCTCATTTAATTGCAATTGAAGAATTGTTTAAAATGAAACGAAAGCATTTTTAAAATATGCAAAGCATTTTAAAGGTAATCAATCATTGCTCTCTGACTTAGCTTAAATTTCAATGCTATTTAAAGCAAAAATTTTAATTTTTAACTTAAGTGCTAAAGAACATATCGAGAAAAGCACTTCTCCCAAATGACTTATTGATCATTTACCATTTTGTTATTATTGATTTTTCTGCAATTAATGACTTTTAATATAAATTCTGTTAAAATTAACTTTTCACTTAGAAAAGCTTTCTTCTGCATTCTAGTCTGTCTAAGTTTGGTTGAACTTTTCATGATGGTATCAAAATATCAGTGTTGGGTTAAATTTCTTACTTACTCTGATAGGAAATAAGTTCGAAATTAAACAGTGTGTTAAAAGTTCATAAACAAAAAAATGGATAACACTGTTTTTCCGTTTACTTTACTTTGAATATATATGTATGTTTATGAGATTGAAGTATTCCGGGTAATCAATCAATGAAATTCAAATAATTTTTTAATTTTAATAATTTTTAGCGTGCAATTCCATGTCGTGTTGCTGCTTCGATTACACTTCTCTTATTCATGCGAGAAAATCCAAATGAAATTGATCGCCAATCTATCATTGATTTTTTTATTCACTGTAAATCGATTCATTAATTTGAATTTTTTAAGAAAAAAAAAAAAAACTTTCTTTCAAATCCTATTTTATAAAAAAAAATACCGAAGTGTGCAAAATTTTTGGAAATTCAATTTTGTCTTAAATATGATCAATTTCGTTAATAAATTTAAAAAGAAACAACTGCAGCAGTCGCAAATCATCAGAATTGTCATCGACGTCGATTATTTTTGGATATGATCCCGGAAATTATCGTCAATTTTAGCCGCAAATTTTTTCACGCGCACTTTTTGACTCCAATTTTGGAGATGGCAAACGACAAAGTGGCAAGTATTAGGTTATTGTTTATTTCCTTTTTCTTTTTTTTTTTTTTTTTTAGTTAAATTATTTGAATTTTCGCTTACTGATAATGCATTCATTTTAAGTTTTTAGCTGCTTTTTTAAATTATTTTGAGGCTTTCGAAATTGCATAAATTATTAGAAATTTTAGTATTCACTTGTTGTTTCTTGAGCAGCGCTATCAATTTTGTTATTAAATTACATGATATTTGATAGAGTAAGAATAGGTAAATAAATCTGAAGTTCTGAAGTTAAAATCAATTTTTGAATTCCTTATTGGCTCTAGCTCTCTAGTATGTGTTTTTTAAAGATTTAAATTCTTCTAGTCGACTTTAATGCTAGGCATTATTTTAGAATATATTTTGCCTATTTTTCAGATTCTTAAATTTAAAATTTCAAAAAGTTTTAAAGATCTTTTTACAAAATACTTTGCAGATTGCAATTGTGTCATATGCTTTCAAAAATAAAAGCAAATTTGTATTTGCCCCAGGATGAGGAAATATTGCTACGTGTAGAAGGAATTATTCGTGATTTGCTTTCCAAAGAGCAAAATTCATCAACGCGACAATTAATTCAAACGGTATGTATTTATAGAGAACAGTTTTCAGACTTTTAATTATTGTAATTTTTTTTCATATTCAAAATTTTTTTTAAAACTAATCCTCATTATGAAACTTTAGCCAACTAAAATGCTTACATTTGTATGCAAACTACTGGATTTCCAGTATGCATGTGAATTATCTCGAGCTGAAACCCGAAACAAGAATGATAAATCGGATGAATTGAAACAAAAAGCGGAGAATGAGATTTGGAATCAGAAGGAATTAACTGTCGAAGGAACAGACAGTAATGCTTCAGAGAAATGCCTGAGAAGTGAAAAAAGAATTAAGTATGTTATTGTAATTGAATATATGAATAGTGGCCTATTAATCAGATATAAATATTGGCTTAGACAATCATGAATATTGGCCTAAATAATTGGCTTGAAGGACTGTTTATCGCTTAACAAAAAAATTCGTTCTGTGAATTTATCTTTCTTTTTTAATTTGCTGATTTGTTTATATATCTATACCAGTTATTTTTATTTGATTGTACACTGCTAAAAATTTAACATTTTCAGTGACAAAAACGATGGTCACTTAGATAAGGGTCCTTGGCGTACACATATACAACGTTCCAAAACGGCTATTGTACGACCACAACCGCAAGTTGTTGTCACACAGCGTAGTCCAAGTCCAATGCCACGTAACTTTAGGACTACTGTGGAAGAACGAAAATCACGACTTCCATTAGCTACCACACAAAACAACAGATATTGTAAGTGTTACTGTTTTTATTATTATTATTATTGTCCACTGATTGATTAAATATCGATTGATTGGTAAGCTACGGGTTAAATAGTTGGTTAGTAAGCTATGAGTAAGTATATATATGTTCTAGAAGTTAAGTAAAGTTCAGCAGCTTCAATTGTGCTATTGATTTGTTAACTAAAGGTAAATATCGATTTTTTTTTTCTTTGAAATTTCAGTAGATACAAAACATAAAACAACAACAACAACAGCATCACCAGCGACATCTTCAGTCAGCAGGACCTTACCATTAACAAGTCGCAGAGGTAGCACTCAGACGACAACCAAATCTTCTCTTTCAACAGGTCGCAGAAGTTCAACAACTTCAGCTGGAAAACCTCCAACTGGTTTAAGTGCTGATAACACAAATGGTTTGTTCATTTGTTTATTTTTTGACGTAAAATCTCAAATTTGCTTTGGATTTTGTAAAATAATTCAGTTTTAATATCATTGACAGCACGTCGCTCCTCAGCAACTACCGTGATGTCGCGTTCGGTGTCATCTTTAAATGGAAAAGTTGGATTAATGCCATCACAATCCACCGACTCAGTCACATTATTTGGCCAAGGACTTATGAAAGTTCGCAGTTTTTCAAATATAGCCAGGACACCAAGTCATCTGAGTATGAAAGTGAAAAGTATTAATTGAGTGATACATACAGAGACAATCAGTGTTTATGTATTCTCTCGTATGTGTAAACAAATCAATATTTTTTCTTGGATCTCTTTTGTTAAAAATAGAAATTTAAATTGAGATAAAACCAAAGAATCCTATACTGATTATCTTCTCTAATTATTCCTAAATTCACAGTGTAACAATGGTTAATATTCATTTTAATTATGCATTTGATCATCTGTTAGTTATTTTACATTCTTATTCAATTAATTTTAATTTTGATAAGTATCACATTTAAACTTTGATTGGAAAAAGATCACTTTTAGAAAATAACTTCTTTCCAAAATTAAACCTTTGTGAAATAGCACTAATTGATATTAATTAATAGGATTGTATTAACCTCAGTCACTCAATTGTGCAGTACAGGTGTGCCTTTCGACGTTATGTAAAAACGTTATGTTAATACGTCGAGTCGAAATGTTTGTAATGTATTTTTTTTAGAAGTGGATCTCAGCACATCATTGAGTACCTTCTTCATTGGTAAACTGTAAATTTAAGTTAATAGTCATTTCCTGATTTGTATAAGTAATAATTTTAATTTTTCCTTTTTGAAAAATGTTGATTAGATAAAAAGTGTAGTTATATTCGAGAGAACTTCCCGATTTCACTGATATAGATACAATTTTGATCCTTCCAAAACAGGTATACAGTTCAGGTAGAGAGCATAAATATCTTTGCCAGAAATTGGAAAATCACATCGATTATCATGCAAAATGCCAAATACAAAATTCTTTTCTAATTCAATTAAAAATCATTAAAAGACCTTAAATTTACCAAATATACCATCGAAAATGACTGAAAAAGATTGTAACCAATAATTTTAAAGCGGAAAAAGCTAAAATTAACAAGCAAATTCATTTTTGTTTCAGAAATATGTTTGATTTCGTCGATTTATCTCCTGAAGATTAAAAAATTTTTTACTTCATCATTTCCTTACCATTTAAAATTAAAAATTCAAGTTATTTATAACATTGTGAAGAAAATATATGGACTGAAAGTATTACCTCATGGAACATGCTGAAAAACATCAAAATGTTATTATGGTTTATTGAAAATTTAACTGCAATTCGTATTTTTCTCAAATTCGTTGTGAAAATTAGTTGGAAATGATATCAACTGAATTTTGATTCATATTTTTATCGAATTCGTTGTCCAAATTAGTTGAAAATGTTACGAACTGAAAATTTCAAAAGCATTAGAACTTAAATATGCGAAATTTCGTCTCGTCGACTTGCTTAAAGTTAAAAAATTTTGAGAAACATTTTATTGATATTTTAACATTTGAAATTAACACCCACACTTTTTCGACAATAACTTACAGTTACACGTTGCAAAGCTTTCAGAAAGCAATGTAATATTAAATTTTTCTTTACGAATTCATTTCATGGATTAATAAAATACAAGATTATATCGAAACACAAAACTATATGGTGACATTTAAAATTAAACGGAATACTTTCCCTTTCTTAATAATCACGTATATGCGCAGATTAGAGAGTCTATGAGAGTGTGCACGAAGAAAAACAATTCCGCCTCCATTATTGTCTGCATTGATCTCATCACCGAAACAACTTTATGCGCGAAATGAAAGATAACTTCATCGGTTGACTTTATTTGACTTATTCTTTTTATTCGAATCTTCTAGCTTTTTACTTTTACTATCGATGTGCAAATTGTTGTATTGTTGGAAGTTGCGTTCAATTGCAATTCAATTTGTTGTTGTGATAGTTAAGTCATCAATAATTTACGTTTATCTGCAATAGTTTTTGATCAAATTTAGTAGGCTCAAGAATTTATACGTACGCATAATTTGTAGTACCCACGTAATTATCGACTCTTTTCACTCCGTAAAGGAAGCGTAGGAATAAAAAACCTTGCATATACAATACAACGATTGTAGAAATTTTGCGACTGTAAATTGATAGAAGAAGTCTAACGGATAAGTTTTTACCCATGATATACCAGTAATGCTTACATTTATACCCAATGCTTATACCTACAAACATTTATACCCGCAATGCTTATACCTACAAACATTTATACTCACAGCATTAATCCATAATACCTATAACGATAATAGACTAAAGGAATGTGCAAATTAGTAACTACAAAGAAACATACAATACACAGAGAAGGCAACAATATATAGATAAAGTGGACAAAGCAATTTTTTCTTCGAAAAATAATATTGTAATTGTGAACCTATTAATTAATTAATTATTTAGACCATGAGATAAACATATAACCATCCTTTAAACTGCTCAGATTCGATTTGATACAGCCAAGTGTTGCAAAATGCATTCATCGCGTACTTTTTTTCTTTTCTTAATAATCACATACATGCACAAATCAGAGAGTCTGTGAGAGTGTGCGCTAAGTAAGACAATTCCGCCTCATTATTACCTGCATGTGATCTCATCACCGAAGCAACTTTATGCGCAAAATGGAAGATAACTTCATTGATTGACTTTATTTGACTTATTCCTTTTCTTATCATTTAACTTTTTACTTTTGTATTTTACCTTTATTAATGGGCAAATTGCTGTATTGTCGAAGTTACGTTTAACTATACTCTTGTATTTGCCGCCTATATCCATGGTTTTTCAGCAAATATGGCGCATGCTGAAGCGTACGGTCCAAATCTGCCAACATTTGCAGATTTGAAGAACCATCTGCGCAAGGAGCCGCTTTACTTCCAGGTATTGGAAGGATACCTGCAAAATACGGCCAAACTGGTATGTTTAATTTTGGTCTTGGATTTATTTACGGTATTATTCATTGAACTCTCTATTAATAATTGATTGGTATGATTTTTCAGATTGAGGATTTGAGGGAGAAGTTGGACAATGAAACGAATGAAGTTTCAACGGCAGACTTGAGAATCCGCCCAAGTCCTCCGCCATCTCGGGAACAGATAGAAACGTTCCATCAATCCGGGGGAATCCAGTGCGATCTGGAGCGGGAAGCAGAAAATGAGGACCAGATCGCCCTCCACCTTCTCGAACAACAACAACAAGCTTTAGAGCAAGAGGAAGAACCAGTGCCGGCCGGCACTGGTAGACGCTCATGAGAGCTGTGAGGAGGTGGAGGAGATGGCGGAGGAGAGGCAAGTACCGCACGATTAGGAAGGTCTGCGGAAATTCCAGAACGCAGTGAAGCGGAAAGCATTCGCGAAATAGCACTGTAAGTTTCATTTCTAGCAATAAGAGTAATTAACTCTTCATAACTGCCTGAGTTTTTGAATCAAAGCAATAAGTTTAGCAAATGACTGCATTTGATGAGCAGTTAAGCTTACAAGAAGTAGTTAAAAAACACTGAAATTTTGATATCTTATAATAAATGTATTTCAGGCGTTCACGGACGATACGGATTCCACAACGTGAGGCAAAGCCAGTAGTGCCGGAATCCTTTCATGCGCCGGCAGTGGAAGGTTTACCGGCGTGGTACCAACAACTGCTGGTGAGGCCACCGATTGACCCATACGTAGTTATTCGAAATGCTGATGGGTCAACCACAATTGGTAAATTTAAATTTATTTTATTAGTGCATTGAAAAGCTTTATGTGAATGATTTGAACGAGTCTAGTACGAATTTATTTTCATAGTGTGGAATTTGTCCGAAGGAATTCGGAACTTTGAAGGGATGGCGAATTCACGCCAGCAAAGTGCACAAAAAAAAAATGGTAAGTTTATTTTCAATCTTTAGTGCTACCTGCTTAAGTATGAGTAATTTTTGAAAGATTTACCTATTAATGTAATATATCTATTTCAGGCTTCTGTCAAAAATGCGGCCATTTCGTCGATATGCCGCATGTTCGCTCTGATGACGAAATTACAGTCATGATGGAGCTACATGCTTTGGAATGGTGCCCTAGGGCCACGAAGGCTGTTATGAATGACAGAGCTATTAAACGACGAAGACTTGAGTTGGTGGGTAGAAACGAAGAGGCCGAGCACTACTATATTCCCAGTAAGTAAAATGTTCCTGTCTAAATGATTCAAATATAAGAAATTATTGAAAAATTATTTTAAAAATTGAAGATTCATTCAACCTTTATCTTTTTTCAGGTGCCTAATAATAATGAAATCTCTACCCAAGCCGCAACTCAATCGATGCACCAATTCAAGAACCATTTCTGTCCAAGTTCGCTCCGCTCAATCAATTTTCTTCTCCTTGCGCAGGTAACCTAATTTACTTACTGGTGGACTGATCTAATTTTTCGTTTTTTTTTTTTTTTTTGTTAGTTTTCTGTTATTATGTTAAGTTTTTGTTCTTATTTGGTTACCAATTTATTAGATTTTTAAATTGTTACTAATTTCTGATTTTCATTAACTATTGAAAAATCACAATGAAAAATTTGATTGTCGTCCTTCTATTTAGTGAGATTTTTTCGAATTCAGTTTTCAGCCATTTGTAATTTCGAAAAAATTGCGCTTCTCTTGCACATAGCTTTTGATCCTTGATGCATTAAATTCGAATTTGGCTCTTTAAATTTCTTTATTTCATTGTGATTTTTATTTTTAATTATGTAATTCTACTTTTTTCATGTTTGATTTGTTTATTAATATGTCGAAAGTAAAAAAAAAAAGGAAAAAAGTAAAAAAATAAAAAATAGAAAATATAAAGAAAAAAAACAAAAAATGAAAAAGAAAATAAATAAAAACAAAAAAAAAAAAACCAAAAAATTAAAAATCAAAAAAACGAAAAAAAAAAATTAAAAAAAAAAAGAATAAATAAAATTAAAAAATAAAAATAAAAGGATTTAATGGCATTATTAATGCTTGGCTTGTTGTTTTATTAATTCTTGCATTTTTTTTTTTTTTATGTTACTTATCGTTTTTTATAAAATATTTTTTATCACTATCATATTGTCATGTTTCACTTATGCCGTTAATAATTCTTTCTGGATTTTATTAGTTTTTTTTCTTTAACTAATTTTTTTTAGAGTGCTTTTTTATTATTATCCTTTTTTGTGATTATTATTATTCTTTCTACTTTTGCGTGGAGGTCAAGAATCACTGTTGTAATTATGCACATAAATTTTTTCTTTCATGTTGATTGACAGTAGTTTTTTGGTCACCAAATTATTTGGATGAAATTTTTTGCTTTTAACTACTAGGTGGTCTGATTTAATTTAGTTTTCTTTTTATTTCTTGCAGATTGATAGTTTTAGTTTTATTGAATTTAATGCATTTGCACATTGAACAGTATTTGCAGACTGCAAATTATATTATATTTTTATTTATGAACAGTTTTTCATAAAATTTTCTATATTTTTTGATTTTATTTCTATTTAATGCACGCTTTTCCTGAATTAATTTTGTTTTTGCTAATTGCATCCTAAGTTACTTATATTCATTTCTTTTTTTACTGCATGCATTTTTAGATTTGTTTTGCATGATTTTTATTTTAATCACTTTTTTTTTTTCACTTGCTTATTCTTTATACATTGAATTTTGTTATGCTATAATTAATGTTTATGAGTTATTATTTTGTTTAACTTCAAATATCATTTCATCATTTCTAATGTATTTGGAATTTTAGCAAGGAGTTATAAATTATTTGTGTGAATAGCAATGCCAAGATTTAATCAAGGGAAAAAAATTACTCAAAACTTGTAAAAAGAAAAAAACGTGTTAAAAAATCAAACCAATATTTTTCGAATTTAACAATTAAGTAGCTTAGAAACTATTTATTATTTCCAGGTTTTCAGTCTATTTTTAAATTAATTTCTTCTAGTCAAAATGAATTAGAAATTATTGCAATTCTCTTATAATAGCGCAATTTGTTTCAAAGAATGTCACAAACTGAAGGAAATATTTTATCATAATGATAATATCTGATAATTATCAGGCATATTTAGCAATATAATTTAAATTTAGGAGAAAATGATGATTTTAAATGAAATAACCAAAAAGATTTTTTCATTATTACTTCTGCTATTATCTTGCAACAATACTAACATATTTGGTACGAAAGTTCGGAAATCATCGTTGCATCATTTGCCGACCATAGAATATGATTGTTTTGATCAAATGGGAATGGATAATATTTCGATGTCACAAAATTATTCAATTTTATTGAATAATTCAATGAATAAAAATTCAACAATAGCAAATAATATCATGCAAATGCAATCAGAAGCATTTAAAAATATTTATCAGGAAATAAAAACTGATTGGGTATTACAACGAATTGATAATTTTAATCCGGATGATAAGCGAGAATTCAAACAAGTTTCTTTTTTCACTTTTTTTTTAAAAAAAAAAATAAATTATAATCTAGAATATTTGCAAATTATTAAATCATTTTCTTTAATAACTTCCAAATTAATCAATATCATAATTTAAAATGATGAATTTTTCATTGCTTTATCAATAATTTTAAATTTATTCTATTCCAATTTTAAATCTTAATGTAATATTTTTTAAAGCTCAAATAATTACAGCGTTATATGTCTAATTTGGAATTTTACAATAATTCTGGTTTGGCATTTTTAAATCTTGGTGGTGAGGATAGAATTACTGGATCAAAGATTGGTTATGCAATGAATCCATTGCTGATATTGGCTAAGAAATATGGCGCTGCATGTTTTTGTTTAGAACATCGTTTTTTGGAGCAAGTCAACCATTTGAGTAAGTAATTCATAAAATTTACTAATTACTATGTCAGTAATTAATTTTTACAGTAAAAAGCTAACATATATGCAAGGAGGAGCAATAATTTTCGTTACATTTTAGATTATCCTAAAATTGAAATATGAAATTTCAGAGATCTCTCAATCAAAAGCTATAAATACTTAACAATAAATCAAGCATTAGCTGATATAAAAAATTTTATTGTTCATATGAACGAAGTGTTTTTCTCGGGAATAGAAAAACCACGTTGGATACTATTTGGTGATTCCTATTCTGGTAAGTTAGTTGGTTTTTATTTTTCAGTTTTTTAACAATATGAAATGAAATAAATGGTAAAATTATAAAATATGTTTCGTATTAACTTTTATCAAGTTTTTAATCAAATTTTTAAACAGATCAAAAAATTTGAGTACTTTTTTCTTTGAATTAATTTTTTGTATATGAATTTCAGGTGCACTTGCAGCATGGTTTCGTGAAATGAACGAAGATCTTACTATTGCAGCAATTGTATCATCTGGTGTGGTTCAAGCTGAAGTCGATTATTATGGTAAAATTAAATAGATTCAAAAAAAAAAAAAATTACGATCTAATCCTGTTTTTTTTTTTTTTTTTTTTGAAGTTTTAGAATTTAGAAAGTATAAAATATTAATTGTTTAGATGAGATTAATTTTGTCTTGTTAAGGTGCAAAAAAGAAAAGAAATATTAATCTAGCTAAAAAATAAAATAGAACTTTTTTTTTTGAAAAAAAGGAAATTTCAGATCATACCAAAAATTTGGAATATGTATTGAAGGAGGAGAATGCACCGTGCGCTGAAACTATTCGATTGGGTATGAAAGCACTGATTGAAAAAACATATACCGCAGATGGTAGGGCAGAATTAGGAAAGGTTTTTAAGTGAGTTTTTTTATTAAAATTTTTTCAATTCAATCCCTAATCTTTTCTTTCCTTTTTCTTTTTGATTTTTTCAAATCTTTGATCGATCCTTTCTCGGTTATTTTTTTTTTGCTATCAATTTATTTAGATTATTTTAATTTTCAATTTATTTTTTTTTTCTTCTGCAGCATGTGCGTACCATTTACGGAGCCATCAATATCAAAAGATATACAACTTTTTCTTGCAAGTGTTTTGTCTTTATTTGGTGCTTTTATACAGTATGCAGGAGGATGTGTAAATTTTTTTATTTGTTTTTTTTTTTTTTTTTTCAAAAATTGTTTACAAAATTTTATTTACAAAAGATTTCAGTGAAAAAAAGAATTGATAAAATTGCAGCGAATTCCCGATGTGTCTTATTTTTGTAATCTAATAACGCATGGTGGTGACACAGATGGTATTGGGATAATTTTGAATACCTGGAAAATTCATGATCAAGTATTTCAATCTGAAGAATGCTTTGATCAAAGCTATGCAAACCATTTGGAAAAATTGAGTGATATCAGTTTGGTGCATAATGAATTTGGTTACTTTTATTTGTTTGATTGAAATTCGTATTGTTTTTTTGAAAAAATTAGACACCTTTAATTATTTTTTCTTCTATTGAAAGCAGTAATATGTAATAAAAGATTTGACAGATTTCAGAAAGTTAAATCTAAAATTTACACGGAAATACTAATCTCTTTTCTTATTTTGTGAGCTTGATTGCTATGATAATCAATTAATTTTAATTTTTCAAACCAACATAAAAATGATATCATTGATAAGCTGATAGCTATTATTAAATTATTTAACATCAGCTAACACAATATTTTTGCTTTCTGATTTGTTGATCATATTAAATTTTTTTCCTAATACATTGCTTAAATTTATTTCTGTAAAAATCAAAAATTTTTATATTTTCAACTTTAGTATCGTATCGTAGTTGGCTATGGCTTTCCTGTACAGAACTTGGCTTTTTCATTACAACAGACAATGGAAAAAGCATATTTGGATCATCTGTATCACTTGAGTAAGATTAATTACTAAAAAAAAAAAAAATCCATCAATTTCTTTTTGATCTATTTACGAAGCTTTCTACTTCTTCATTTTTAAGTTAAAAAAATATTTAAAATTATTTTTCTTTCTAGTTTAAATAAAATTTCTTAAAAATTTAATATTCAAATAAATTAAACATGTTTCAAATTGCAGTTATTTTATCGATAAATGCATGGACGTATTCGATGTGCAGTATGATGCGGAACGTGTTCGTGATGGCGTACGCAATACATTGCGTACATTTGGAGGTTATGATAATTATAGAGTAGGTTACTGTATTCCTTGGCTACAGTAATCATACAGCATGAATTTTGTTTTTATCTTGTATATTTATGAGAAGTTTTCAAGGGTAGCAATACGATATTTGCAACTGGTTCATATGATCCATGGAAATCAGCTTGTTGTTTGAATTGTACTGATATTACAAGAAATGTTTACTCTTTTATAATTGAAGGTAAAATTTATTTAATTTTAAATTAATTAATCGATTGTTTCATTAACTTAGAGCAAACAAAAAAAAAAATTCCCATCGATATAAATACCTTGCAACATTTTAAAAATATTTTCTAGTCTTATTTTAAAATTTCAAGAAAATTTTTCTAAATTAGGGTTATAACCGATTTTATTGATTGAATAAGTTAAAATAATTATTTTCTAAGCTAAATTATTGCTAAAAATTTACTATTGTCTATATTAACTAGAAGCTTTTCAGGTGGTTCTCATTGCATTGACACATGTCCTGTCAATTTCATCAATTTACCAGCATTAGATGATTATCGAATATTTCTTGATGAAAAAATAGAAATGTTTATTGCGGAAAGCTCTACAACCAATGATAGTTACAATAGCAAAAACAATAATAGCAATAACAATAAAAATTAAAACAGCGCAACAATAACATTACTTTAAATTTGGAATAAAGTAAGAAATGAATATTTTATTATGTAATACTTTTTGATGTTTGTAACAAAAACTATAATATAATTTAAATTTCATAAATTTCACATTAAAGCCATTTAGGTACGATATTATATTTACTAATAAATGAATATAAAAGCATATGAATAAAAATAATTTGTAAGCCATTTTCATTTCAGGTTCCATTAACAGAATTGCTCATTCAATTGATCATATTTTAATGTAATTCAATTTATAAATATTAAGAAAAAAAAAATTTGAGAAAATGCCGTCATTGTGTGAAATTTTATTGTAAAATTGATCAATAATTGATTAAATTGAGTACTAATTAAAAATAATTCAGGAATTATCACTAATCATTTTCAAAAATAAAGAGGAAAAATTTTTTCAATCAAAAACTTTTTAATTTCAAAAAATTATGCAAAAAGAAAAGAATACTTTTTCTGCTCTAAAAAAAACTAAATTTTTAACGATGAATAGATGAACTTAAATGAAATGACTGACGCAAATGATTCGTTATCAGTTGTTTCTTATTATTTATGATAAAGTTATTTCCTTGCTGATACGGTAATTTCAGTAAAAATAAAATGTGTAATTAATAAACGATCATTTCTTTATTGATTTCTGTAAATTTAACACAAAAAAATTAGTTGCAAAAAAAAGTTGGTTTTCTCTTTTTATCTTCCTTTCATGTTTTTATCATATAAATTTCTCAAAAGTATCATTTTTTTCTTTCAAAATAAGTTATGCATATATTATTTATTTATTCGCAATACTTTTTCATATTTTTTTTTGTAAAAGATTAACTTTGTCTTTGTTTTGATGTGTATTTTAGAGAGTGTAATTTGAATATTAAATGCGATAAATGTTTTTTTTTAACGAATTATAAACAAAAGAATGATTGAAATAAATCATTTATAAAAAGTTAATTGATTACATTTATAGTTTAAATTAAGATTTACTAGGAAAATGTGTAGGTAGTATCGATGGCCTTTAATATTAACAACATTTATATCAGATTAATGTAGTTTAACATTTTTTCTTTTTTTATCAATTATTTTAATGATTTCAATTTACAAATAAATATTGTAGAGTAGGAAAATTGATAATAACTAATGAATAATTTAAATCAAAAGGTTATTTAATTACATTGCTGAAATGATCGAGTTATTGATAACTTAATAAATTGCTATTAATAAAAAAAGATTGCGATAAACTTAATAAGTGATGAAAGTAAGTAAGATAACCTAACAGCTTATTTGAGAAAAAATTATTATTAATTCCGATGAAGTTTCACATTACAAGTGAAATTTACTTATCAAATTCAGCATGCAATCATCTGTGCTCATTTAATTGCAATTGAAGAATTGTTTGAAATGAAACGAAAGCATTTTTAAAATATGCAAAGCATTTTAAAGATAATCAATCATTGCTCTCTGACTTAGCTTAAATTTCAATGCTATTTAAAGTAAAAATTTTAATTTTTAACTTAAGTTCTAAAGAACATATCGAGAAAAGCACTTCTTCCAAATGACTTATTGATCATTTCACTTCGCACTTATTTTTTTTTTTATTATTTTTTTGCAGGCATTTTTCAAACAATAATCATCCATGGAATAAGCACGAAGTAAAACAATTCCGCCTCCATTATTGTCTGCATTGATCTCATCACCGAAACAACTTTATGCGCGAAATGAAAGATAACTTCATCGGTTGACTTTATTTGACTTATTCTTTTTATTCGAATCTTCTAGCTTTTTACTTTTACTATCGATGTGCAAATTGTTGTATTGTTGGAAGTTGCGTTCAATTGCAATTCAATTTGTTGTTGTGATAGTTAAGTCATCAATAATTTACGTTTATCTGCAATAGTTTTTGATCAAATTTAGTAGGCTCAAGAATTTATACGTACGCATAATTTTATACGTACGCATAACACGTAATTATCGACTCTTTTCACTCCGTAAAGGAAGCGTAGGAATAAAAAACCTTGCATATACAATACAACGATTGTAGAAATTTTGCGACTGTAAATTGATAGAAGAAGTCTAACGGATAAGTTTTTACCCATGATATACCAGTAATGCTTACATTTATACCCAATGCTTATACCTACAAACATTTATACCCGCAATGCTTATACCTACAAACATTTATACTCACAGCATTAATCCATAATACCTATAACGATAATAGACTAAAGGAATGTGCAAATTAGTAACTACAAAGAAACATACAATACACAGAGAAGGCAACAATATATAGATAAAGTGGACAAAGCAATTTTTTCTTCGAAAAATAATATTGTAATTGTGAACCTATTAATTAATTAATTATTTAGACCATGAGATAAACATATAACCATCCTTTAAACTGCTCAGATTCGATTTGATACAGCCAAGTGTTGCAAAATGCATTCATCGCGTACTTTTTTCTTTTCTTAATAATCACATACATGCACAAATCAGAGAGTCTGTGAGAGTGTGCGCTAAGTAAGACAATTCCGCCTCATTATTACCTGCATGTGATCTCATCACCGAAGCAACTTTATGCGCAAAATGGAAGATAACTTCATTGATTGACTTTATTTGACTTATTCCTTTTCTTATCATTTAACTTTTTACTTTTGTATTTTACCTTTATTAATGGGCAAATTGCTGTATTGTCGAAGTTACGTTTAACTATACTCTTGTATTTGCCGCCTATATCCATGGTTTTTCAGCAAATATGGCGCATGCTGAAGCGTACGGTCCAAATCTGCCAACATTTGCAGATTTGAAGAACCATCTGCGCAAGGAGCCGCTTTACTTCCAGGTATTGGAAGGATACCTGCAAAATACGGCCAAACTGGTATGTTTAATTTTGGTCTTGGATTTATTTACGGTATTATTCATTGAACTCTCTATTAATAATTGATTGGTATGATTTTTCAGATTGAGGATTTGAGGGAGAAGTTGGACAATGAAACGAATGAAGTTTCAACGGCAGACTTGAGAATCCGCCCAAGTCCTCCGCCATCTCGGGAACAGATAGAAACGTTCCATCAATCCGGGGAATCCAGTGCGATCTGGAGCGGGAAGCAGAAAATGAGGACCAGATCGCCCTCCACCTTCTCGAACAACAACAACAAGCTTTAGAGCAAGAGGAAGAACCAGTGCCGGCCGGCACTGGTAGACGCTCATGAGAGCTGTGAGGAGGTGGAGGAGATGGCGGAGGAGAGGCAAGTACCGCACGATTAGGAAGGTCTGCGGAAATTCCAGAACGCAGTGAAGCGGAAAGCATTCGCGAAATAGCACTGTAAGTTTCATTTCTAGCAATAAGAGTAATTAACTCTTCATAACTGCCTGAGTTTTTGAATCAAAGCAATAAGTTTAGCAAATGACTGCATTTGATGAGCAGTTAAGCTTACAAGAAGTAGTTAAAAAACACTGAAATTTTGATATCTTATAATAAATGTATTTCAGGCGTTCACGGACGATACGGATTCCACAACGTGAGGCAAAGCCAGTAGTGCCGGAATCCTTTCATGCGCCGGCAGTGGAAGGTTTACCGGCGTGGTACCAACAACTGCTGGTGAGGCCACCGATTGACCCATACGTAGTTATTCGAAATGCTGATGGGTCAACCACAATTGGTAAATTTAAATTTATTTTATTAGTGCATTGAAAAGCTTTATGTGAATGATTTGAACGAGTCTAGTACGAATTTATTTTCATAGTGTGGAATTTGTCCGAAGGAATTCGGAACTTTGAAGGGATGGCGAATTCACGCCAGCAAAGTGCACAAAAAAAAAATGGTAAGTTTATTTTCAATCTTTAGTGCTACCTGCTTAAGTATGAGTAATTTTTGAAAGATTTACCTATTAATGTAATATATCTATTTCAGGCTTCTGTCAAAAATGCGGCCATTTCGTCGATATGCCGCATGTTCGCTCTGATGACGAAATTACAGTCATGATGGAGCTACATGCTTTGGAATGGTGCCCTAGGGCCACGAAGGCTGTTATGAATGACAGAGCTATTAAACGACGAAGACTTGAGTTGGTGGGTAGAAACGAAGAGGCCGAGCACTACTATATTCCCAGTAAGTAAAATGTTCCTGTCTAAATGATTCAAATATAAGAAATTATTGAAAAAATTATTTTAAAAATTGAAGATTCATTCAACCTTTATCTTTTTTCAGGTGCCTAATAATAATGAAATCTCTACCCAAGCCGCAACTCAATCGATGCACCAATTCAAGAACCATTTCTGTCCAAGTTCGCTCCGCTCAATCAATTTTCTTCTCCTTGCGCAGGTAACCTAATTTACTTACTGGTGGACTGATCTAATTTTTTCGTTTTTTTTTTTTTTTTTTTGTTAGTTTTCTGTTATTATGTTAAGTTTTTGTTCTTATTTGGTTACCAATTTATTAGATTTTTAAATTGTTACTAATTTCTGATTTTCATTAACTATTGAAAAATCACAATGAAAAATTTGATTGTCGTCCTTCTATTTAGTGAGATTTTTTCGAATTCAGTTTTCAGCCATTTGTAATTTCGAAAAAATTGCGCTTCTCTTGCACATAGCTTTTGATCCTTGATGCATTAAATTCGAATTTGGCTCTTTAAATTTCTTTATTTCATTGTGATTTTTATTTTTAATTATGTAATTCTACTTTTTTCCATGTTTGATTTGTTTATTAATATGTCGAAAGTAAAAAAAAAAAGTAAAAAAGTAAAAAAAAAATTAAAAAATATAAAATATAAAGAAAAAAAAACAAAAAATGAAAAAAGAAAATAAATAAAAACAAAAAATAAAAAAAACCAAAAAAATTAAAAAATCAAAAAAAAAACGAAAAAAAAAAATTTAAAAAAAAAAAAGAATAAATAAAATTAAAAAATAAAAATAAAAGGATTTAATGGCATTATTAATGCTTGGCTTGTTGTTTTATTAATTCTTGCATTTTTTTTTTTTTGTTTATGTTACTTATCGTTTTTTATAAAATATTTTTTATCACTATCATATTGTCATGTTTCACTTATGCCGTTAATAATTCTTTCTGGATTTTATTAGTTTTTTTCTCTTTAACTAATTTTTTTTAGAGTGCTTTTTTATTATTATCCTTTTTTGTGATTATTATTATTCTTTCTACTTTTGCGTGGAGGTCAAGAATCACTGTTGTAATTATGCACATAAATTTTTTTCTTTCATGTTGATTGACAGTAGTTTTTTGGTCACCAAATTATTTGGATGAAATTTTTTGCTTTTAACTACTAGGTGGTCTGATTTAATTTAGTTTTCTTTTTATTTCTTGCAGATTGATAGTTTTAGTTTTATTGAATTTAATGCATTTGCACATTGAACAGTATTTGCAGACTGCAAATTATATTATATTTTTATTTATGAACAGTTTTTCATAAAATTTTCTATATTTTTTGATTTTATTTCTATTTAATGCACGCTTTTCCTGAATTAATTTTGTTTTTGCTAATTGCATCCTAAGTTACTTATATTCATTTCTTTTTTTACTGCATGCATTTTTAGATTTGTTTTGCATGATTTTTATTTTAATCACTTTTTTTTTTTCACTTGCTTATTCTTTATACATTGAATTTTGTTATGCTATAATTAATGTTTATGAGTTATTATTTTGTTTAACTTCAAATATCATTTCATCATTTCTAATGTATTTGGAATTTTAGCAAGGAGTTATAAATTATTTGTGTGAATAGCAATGCCAAGATTTAATCAAGGGAAAAAAATTACTCAAAACTTGTAAAAAGAAAAAAACGTGTTAAAAAATCAAACCAATATTTTTCGAATTTAACAATTAAGTAGCTTAGAAACTATTTATTATTTCCAGGTTTTCAGTCTATTTTTAAATTAATTTCTTCTAGTCAAAATGAATTAGAAATTATTGCAATTCTCTTATAATAGCGCAATTTGTTTCAAAGAATGTCACAAACTGAAGGAAATATTTTATCATAATGATAATATCTGATAATTATCAGGCATATTTAGCAATATAATTTAAATTTAGGAGAAAATGATGATTTTAAATGAAATAACCAAAAAGATTTTTTCATTATTACTTCTGCTATTATCTTGCAACAATACTAACATATTTGGTACGAAAGTTCGGAAATCATCGTTGCATCATTTGCCGACCATAGAATATGATTGTTTTGATCAAATGGGAATGGATAATATTTCGATGTCACAAAATTATTCAATTTTATTGAATAATTCAATGAATAAAAATTCAACAATAGCAAATAATATCATGCAAATGCAATCAGAAGCATTTAAAAATATTTATCAGGAAATAAAAACTGATTGGGTATTACAACGAATTGATAATTTTAATCCGGATGATAAGCGAGAATTCAAACAAGTTTCTTTTTTCACTTTTTTTTTTAAAAAAAAAAATATAAATTATAATCTAGAATATTTGCAAATTATTAAATCATTTTCTTTAATAACTTCCAAATTAATCAATATCATAATTTAAAATGATGAATTTTTTCATTGCTTTATCAATAATTTTAAATTTATTCTATTCCAATTTTAAATCTTAATGTAATATTTTTTAAAGCTCAAATAATTACAGCGTTATATGTCTAATTTGGAATTTTACAATAATTCTGGTTTGGCATTTTTAAATCTTGGTGGTGAGGATAGAATTACTGGATCAAAGATTGGTTATGCAATGAATCCATTGCTGATATTGGCTAAGAAATATGGCGCTGCATGTTTTTGTTTAGAACATCGTTTTTTTGGAGCAAGTCAACCATTTGAGTAAGTAATTCATAAAATTTACTAATTACTATGTCAGTAATTAATTTTTACAGTAAAAAGCTAACATATATGCAAGGAGGAGCAATAATTTTCATTACATTTTAGATTATCCTAAAATTGAAATATGAAATTTCAGAGATCTCTCAATCAAAAGCTATAAATACTTAACAATAAATCAAGCATTAGCTGATATAAAAATTTTATTGTTCATATGAACGAAGTGTTTTTCTCGGGAATAGAAAAACCACGTTGGATACTATTTGGTGATTCCTATTCTGGTAAGTTAGTTGGTTTTTATTTTTCAGTTTTTTAACAATATGAAATGAAATAAATGGTAAAATTATAAAATATGTTTCGTATTAACTTTTATCAAGTTTTTAATCAAATTTTTAAACAGATCAAAAAATTTGAGTACTTTTTTCTTTGAATTAATTTTTTGTATATGAATTTCAGGTGCACTTGCAGCATGGTTTCGTGAAATGAACGAAGATCTTACTATTGCAGCAATTGTATCATCTGGTGTGGTTCAAGCTGAAGTCGATTATTATGGTAAAATTAAATAGATTCAAAAAAAAAAAAAATTACGATCTAATCCTGTTTTTTTTTTTTTTTTTTTTTGAAGTTTTAGAATTTAGAAAGTATAAAATATTAATTGTTTAGATGAGATTAATTTTGTCTTGTTAAGGTGCAAAAAAGAAAAGAAATATTAATCTAGCTAAAAAAATAAAATAGAACTTTTTTTTTTTTGGAAAAAAAGGAAATTTCAGATCATACCAAAAATTTGGAATATGTATTGAAGGAGGAGAATGCACCGTGCGCTGAAACTATTCGATTGGGTATGAAAGCACTGATTGAAAAAACATATACCGCAGATGGTAGGGCAGAATTAGGAAAGGTTTTTAAGTGAGTTTTTTTTATTAAAATTTTTTCAATTCAATCCCTAATCTTTTCTTTCCTTTTTCTTTTTGATTTTTTCAAATCTTTGATCGATCCTTTCTCGGTTATTTTTTTTTTTTGCTATCAATTTATTTAGATTATTTTAATTTTCAATTTATTTTTTTTTTTTCTTCTGCAGCATGTGCGTACCATTTACGGAGCCATCAATATCAAAAGATATACAACTTTTTCTTGCAAGTGTTTTGTCTTTATTTGGTGCTTTTATACAGTATGCAGGAGGATGTGTAAATTTTTTTATTTGTTTTTTTTTTTTTTTTTCAAAAATTGTTTACAAAATTTTATTTACAAAAGATTTCAGTGAAAAAAAGAATTGATAAAATTGCAGCGAATTCCCGATGTGTCTTATTTTTGTAATCTAATAACGCATGGTGGTGACACAGATGGTATTGGGATAATTTTGAATACCTGGAAAATTCATGATCAAGTATTTCAATCTGAAGAATGCTTTGATCAAAGCTATGCAAACCATTTGGAAAAATTGAGTGATATCAGTTTGGTGCATAATGAATTTGGTTACTTTTATTTGTTTGATTGAAATTCGTATTGTTTTTTTTTGAAAAAAATTAGACACCTTTAATTATTTTTTTCTTCTATTGAAAGCAGTAATATGTAATAAAAGATTTGACAGATTTCAGAAAGTTAAATCTAAAATTTACACGGAAATACTAATCTCTTTTCTTATTTTGTGAGCTTGATTGCTATGATAATCAATTAATTTTAATTTTTCAAACCAACATAAAAATGATATCATTGATAAGCTGATAGCTATTATTAAATTATTTAACATCAGCTAACACAATATTTTTGCTTTCTGATTTGTTGATCATATTAAATTTTTTTCCTAATACATTGCTTAAATTTATTTCTGTAAAAATCAAAAATTTTTATATTTTCAACTTTAGTATCGTATCGTAGTTGGCTATGGCTTTCCTGTACAGAACTTGGCTTTTTCATTACAACAGACAATGGAAAAAGCATATTTGGATCATCTGTATCACTTGAGTAAGATTAATTACTAAAAAAAAAAAAAATCCATCAATTTCTTTTTGATCTATTTACGAAGCTTTCTACTTCTTCATTTTTAAGTTAAAAAAATATTTAAAATTATTTTTCTTTCTAGTTTAAATAAAATTTCTTAAAAATTTAATATTCAAATAAATTAAACATGTTTCAAATTGCAGTTATTTTATCGATAAATGCATGGACGTATTCGATGTGCAGTATGATGCGGAACGTGTTCGTGATGGCGTACGCAATACATTGCGTACATTTGGAGGTTATGATAATTATAGAGTAGGTTACTGTATTCCTTGGCTACAGTAATCATACAGCATGAATTTTGTTTTTATCTTGTATATTTATGAGAAGTTTTCAAGGGTAGCAATACGATATTTGCAACTGGTTCATATGATCCATGGAAATCAGCTTGTTGTTTGAATTGTACTGATATTACAAGAAATGTTTACTCTTTTATAATTGAAGGTAAAATTTATTTAATTTTAAATTAATTAATCGATTGTTTCATTAACTTAGAGCAAACAAAAAAAAAAATTCCCATCGATATAAATACCTTGCAACATTTTAAAAATATTTTCTAGTCTTATTTTAAAATTTCAAGAAAATTTTTCTAAATTAGGGTTATAACCGATTTTATTGATTGAATAAGTTAAAATAATTATTTTCTAAGCTAAATTATTGCTAAAAATTTACTATTGTCTATATTAACTAGAAGCTTTTCAGGTGGTTCTCATTGCATTGACACATGTCCTGTCAATTTCATCAATTTACCAGCATTAGATGATTATCGAATATTTCTTGATGAAAAAATAGAAATGTTTATTGCGGAAAGCTCTACAACCAATGATAGTTACAATAGCAAAAACAATAATAGCAATAACAATAAAAATTAAAACAGCGCAACAATAACATTACTTTAAATTTGGAATAAAGTAAGAAATGAATATTTTATTATGTAATACTTTTTGATGTTTGTAACAAAAACTATAATATAATTTAAATTTCATAAATTTCACATTAAAGCCATTTAGGCACGATATTATATTTACTAATAAATGAATATAAAAGCATATGAATAAAAATAATTTGTAAGCCATTTTCATTTCAGGTTCCATTAACAGAATTGCTCATTCAGTTGATCATATTTTAATGTAATTCAATTTATAAATATTAAGAAAAAAGAAATTTGAGAAAATGCCGTCATTGTGTGAAATTTTATTGTAAAATTGACCAATAATTGATTAAATTGAGTACTAATTAAAAATAATTCAGGAATTATCACTAATCATTTTCAAAAATAAAGAGGAAAATTTTTTTCAATCAAAAACTTTTTAATTTCAAAAAATTATGCAAAAAGAAAAGAATACTTTTTCTGCTCTAAAAAAAACTAAATTTTTAACGATGAATAGATGAACTTAAATGAAATGACTGACGCAAATGATTCGTTATCAGTTGTTTCTTATTATTTATGATAAAGTTATTTCCTTGCTGATACGGTAATTTCAGTAAAAATAAAATGTGTAATTAATAAACGATCATTTCTTTATTGATTTCTGTAAATTTAACACAAAAAAATTAGTTGCAAAAAAAAGTTGGTTTTCTCTTTTTATCTTCCTTTCATGTTTTTATCATATAAATTTCTCAAAAGTATCATTTTTTTCTTTCAAAATAAGTTATGCATATATTATTTATTTATTCGCAATACTTTTTCATATTTTTTTTTGTAAAAGATTAACTTTGTCTTTGTTTTGATGTGTATTTTAGAGAGTGTAATTTGAATATTAAATGCGATAAATGTTTTTTTTTTAACGAATTATAAACAAAAGAATGATTGAAATAAATCATTTATAAAAAGTTAATTGATTACATTTATAGTTTAAATTAAGATTTACTAGGAAAATGTGTAGGTAGTATCGATGGCCTTTAATATTAACAACATTTATATCAGATTAATGTAGTTTAACATTTTTTTTTTTTTTATCAATTATTTTAATGATTTCAATTTACAAATAAATATTGTAGAGTAGGAAAATTGATAATAACTAATGAATAATTTAAATCAAAAGGTTATTTAATTACATTGCTGAAATGATCGAGTTATTGATAACTTAATAAATTGCTATTAATAAAAAAAGATTGCGATAAACTTAATAAGTGATGAAAGTAAGTAAGATAACCTAACAGCTTATTTGAGAAAAAATTATTATTAATTCCGATGAAGTTTCACATTACAAGTGAAACTTACTTATCAAATTCAGCATGCAATCATCTGTGCTCATTTAATTGCAATTGAAGAATTGTTTAAAATGAAACGAAAGCATTTTTAAAATATGCAAAGCATTTTAAAGGTAATCAATCATTGCTCTCTGACTTAGCTTAAATTTCAATGCTATTTAAAGCAAAAATTTTAATTTTTAACTTAAGTGCTAAAGAACATATCGAGAAAAGCACTTCTCCCAAATGACTTATTGATCATTTACCATTTTGTTATTATTGATTTTTCTGCAATTAATGACTTTTAATATAAATTCTGTTAAAATTAACTTTTCACTTAGAAAAGCTTTCTTCTGCATTCTAGTCTGTCTAAGTTTGGTTGAACTTTTCATGATGGTATCAAAATATCAGTGTTGGGTTAAATTTCTTACTTACTCTGATAGGAAATAAGTTCGAAATTAAACAGTGTGTTAAAAGTTCATAAACAAAAAATGGATAACACTGTTTTTCCGTTTACTTTACTTTGAATATATATGTATGTTTATGAGATTGAAGTATTCCGGGTAATCAATCAATGAAATTCAAATAATTTTTAATTTTAATAATTTTTAGCGTGCAATTCCATGTCGTGTTGCTGCTTCGATTACACTTCTCTTATTCATGCGAGAAAATCCAAATGAAATTGATCGCCAATCTATCATTGATTTTTTATTCACTGTAAATCGATTCATTAATTTGAATTTTTTGAAAAAAAAAAAAAAACTTTCTTTCAAATCCTATTTTATAAAAAAAAATACCGAAGTGTGCAAAATTTTTGGAAATTCAATTTTGTCTTAAATATGATCAATTTCGTTAATAAATTTAAAAAGAAACAACTGCAGCAGTCGCAAATCATCAGAATTGTCATCGACGTCGATTATTTTTGGATATGATCCCGGAAATTATCGTCAATTTTAGCCGCAAATTTTTTCACGCGCACTTTTTGACTCCAATTTTGGAGATGGCAAACGACAAAGTGGCAAGTATTAGGTTATTGTTTATTTCCTTTTTCTTTTTTTTTTTTTTTTTAGTTAAATTATTTGAATTTTCGCTTACTGATAATGCATTCATTTTAAGTTTTTAGCTGCTTTTTTAAATTATTTTGAGGCTTTCGAAATTGCATAAATTATTAGAAATTTTAGTATTCACTTGTTGTTTCTTGAGCAGCGCTATCAATTTTGTTATTAAATTACATGATATTTGATAGAGTAAGAATAGGTAAATAAATCTGAAGTTCTGAAGTTAAAATCAATTTTTGAATTCCTTATTGGCTCTAGCTCTCTAGTATGTGTTTTTTAAAGATTTAAATTCTTCTAGTCGACTTTAATGCTAGGCATTATTTTAGAATATATTTTGCCTATTTTTCAGATTCTTAAATTTAAAATTTCAAAAAGTTTTAAAGATCTTTTTACAAAATACTTTGCAGATTGCAATTGTGTCATATGCTTTCAAAAATAAAAGCAAATTTGTATTTGCCCCAGGATGAGGAAATATTGCTACGTGTAGAAGGAATTATTCGTGATTTGCTTTCCAAAGAGCAAAATTCATCAACGCGACAATTAATTCAAACGGTATGCATTTATAGAGAACAGTTTTCAGACTTTTAATTATTGTAATTTTTTTTCATATTCAAAATTTTTTTTAAAACTAATCCTCATTATGAAACTTTAGCCAACTAAAATGCTTACATTTGTATGCAAACTACTGGATTTCCAGTATGCATGTGAATTATCTCGAGCTGAAACCCGAAACAAGAATGATAAATCGGATGAATTGAAACAAAAAGCGGAGAATGAGATTTGGAATCAGAAGGAATTAACTGTCGAAGGAACAGACAGTAATGCTTCAGAGAAATGCCTGAGAAGTGAAAAGAGAATTAAGTATGTTATTGTAATTGAATATATGAATAATGGCCTATTAATCAGATATAAATATTGGCTTAGACAATCATGAATATTGGCCTAAATAATTGGCTTGAAGGACTGTTTATCGCTTAACAAAAAAATTCGTTCTGTGAATTTATCTTTCTTTTTTAATTTGCTGATTTGTTTATATATCTATACCAGTTATTTTCATTTGATTGTACACTGCTAAAAATTTAACATTTTCAGTGACAAAAACGATGGTCACTTAGATAAGGGTCCTTGGCGTACACATATACAACGTTCCAAAACGGCTATTGTACGACCACAACCGCAAGTTGTTGTCACACAGCGTAGTCCAAGTCCAATGCCACGTAACTTTAGGACTACTGTGGAAGAACGAAAATCACGACTTCCATTAGCTACCACACAAAACAACAGATATTGTAAGTGTTACTGTTTTTATTATTATTATTATTGTCCACTGATTGATTAAATATCGATTGATTGGTAAGCTACGGGTTAAATAGTTGGTTAGTAAGCTATGAGTAAGTATATATATGTTCTAGAAGTTAAGTAAAGTTCAGCAGCTTCAATTGTGCTATTGATTTGTTAACTAAAGGTAAATATCGATTTTTTTTTTCTTTGAAATTTCAGTAGATACAAAACATAAAACAACAACAACAACAGCATCACCAGCGACATCTTCAGTCAGCAGGACCTTACCATTAACAAGTCGCAGAGGTAGCACTCAGACGACAACCAAATCTTCTCTTTCAACAGGTCGCAGAAGTTCAACAACTTCAGCTGGAAAACCTCCAACTGGTTTAAGTGCTGATAACACAAATGGTTTGTTCATTTGTTTATTTTTGACGTAAAATCTCAAATTTGCTTTGGATTTTGTAAAATAATTCAGTTTTAATATCATTGACAGCACGTCGCTCCTCAGCAACTACCGTGATGTCGCGTTCGGTGTCATCTTTAAATGGAAAAGTTGGATTAATGCCATCACAATCCACCGACTCAGTCACATTATTTGGCCAAGGACTTATGAAAGTTCGCAGTTTTTCAAATATAGCCAGGACACCAAGTCATCTGAGTATGAAAGTGAAAAGTATTAATTGAGTGATACATACAGAGACAATCAGTGTTTATGTATTCTCTCGTATGTGTAAACAAATCAATATTTTTTCTTGGATCTCTTTTGTTAAAAATAGAAATTTAAATTGAGATAAAACCAAAGAATCCTATACTGATTATCTTCTCTAATTATTCCTAAATTCACAGTGTAACAATGGTTAATATTCATTTTAATTATGCATTTGATCATCTGTTAGTTATTTTACATTCTTATTCAATTAATTTTAATTTTGATAAGTATCACATTTAAACTTTGATTGGAAAAAGATCACTTTTAGAAAATAACTTCTTTCCAAAATTAAACCTTTGTGAAATAGCACTAATTGATATTAATTAATAGGATTGTATTAACCTCAGTCACTCAATTGTGCAGTACAGGTGTGCCTTTCGACGTTATGTAAAAACGTTATGTTAATACGTCGAGTCGAAATGTTTGTAATGTATTTTTTTTAGAAGTGGATCTCAGCACATCATTGAGTACCTTCTTCATTGGTAAACTGTAAATTTAAGTTAATAGTCATTTCCTGATTTGTATAAGTAATAATTTTAATTTTTCCTTTTTCGAAAATGTTGATTAGATAAAAAGTGTAGTTATATTCGAGAGAACTTCCCGATTTCACTGATATAGATACAATTTTGATCCTTCCAAAACAGGTATACAGTTCAGGTAGAGAGCATAAATATCTTTGCCAGAAATTGGAAAATCACATCGATTATCATGCAAAATGCCAAATACAAAATTCTTTTCTAATTCAATTAAAAATCATTAAAAGACCTTAAATTTACCAAATATACCATCGAAAATGACTGAAAAAGATTGTAACCAATAATTTTAAAGCGGAAAAAGCTAAAATTAACAAGCAAATTCATTTTTGTTTCAGAAATATGTTTGATTTCGTCGATTTATCTCCTGAAGATTAAAAAATTTTTTACTTCATCATTTCCTTACCATTTAAAATTAAAAATTCAAGTTATTTATAACATTGTGAAGAAAATATATGGACTGAAAGTATTACCTCATGGAACATGCTGAAAAACATCAAAATGTTATTATGGTTTATTGAAAATTTAACTGCAATTCGTATTTTTCTCAAATTCGTTGTGAAAATTAGTTGGAAATGATATCAACTGAATTTTGATTCATATTTTTATCGAATTCGTTGTCCAAATTAGTTGAAAATGTTACGAACTGAAAATTTCAAAAGCATTAGAACTTAAATATGCGAAATTTCGTCTCGTCGACTTGCTTAAAGTTAAAAAATTTTGAGAAACATTTTATTGATATTTTAACATTTGAAATTAACACCCACACTTTTTCGACAATAACTTACAGTTACACGTTGCAAAGCTTTCAGAAAGCAATGTAATATTAAATTTTTCTTTACGAATTCATTTCATGGATTAATAAAATACAAGATTATATCGAAACACAAAACTATATGGTGACATTTAAAATTAAACGGAATACTTTCCCTTTCTTAATAATCACGTATATGCGCAGATTAGAGAGTCTATGAGAGTGTGCACGAAGAAAAACAATTCCGCCTCCATTATTGTCTGCATTGATCTCATCACCGAAACAACTTTATGCGCGAAATGAAAGATAACTTCATCGGTTGACTTTATTTGACTTATTCTTTTTATTCGAATCTTCTAGCTTTTTACTTTTACTATCGATGTGCAAATTGTTGTATTGTTGGAAGTTGCGTTCAATTGCAATTCAATTTGTTGTTGTGATAGTTAAGTCATCAATAATTTACGTTTATCTGCAATAGTTTTTGATCAAATTTAGTAGGCTCAAGAATTTATACGTACGCATAATTTGTAGTACCCACGTAATTATCGACTCTTTTCACTCCGTAAAGGAAGCGTAGGAATAAAAAACCTTGCATATACAATACAACGATTGTAGAAATTTTGCGACTGTAAATTGATAGAAGAAGTCTAACGGATAAGTTTTTACCCATGATATACCAGTAATGCTTACATTTATACCCAATGCTTATACCTACAAACATTTATACCCGCAATGCTTATACCTACAAACATTTATACTCACAGCATTAATCCATAATACCTATAACGATAATAGACTAAAGGAATGTGCAAATTAGTAACTACAAAGAAACATACAATACACAGAGAAGGCAACAATATATAGATAAAGTGGACAAAGCAATTTTTTCTTCGAAAAATAATATTGTAATTGTGAACCTATTAATTAATTAATTATTTAGACCATGAGATAAACATATAACCATCCTTTAAACTGCTCAGATTCGATTTGATACAGCCAAGTGTTGCAAAATGCATTCATCGCGTACTTTTTTTCTTTTCTTAATAATCACATACATGCACAAATCAGAGAGTCTGTGAGAGTGTGCGCTAAGTAAGACAATTCCGCCTCATTATTACCTGCATGTGATCTCATCACCGAAGCAACTTTATGCGCAAAATGGAAGATAACTTCATTGATTGACTTTATTTGACTTATTCCTTTTCTTATCATTTAACTTTTTACTTTTGTATTTTACCTTTATTAATGGGCAAATTGCTGTATTGTCGAAGTTACGTTTAACTATACTCTTGTATTTGCCGCCTATATCCATGGTTTTTCAGCAAATATGGCGCATGCTGAAGCGTACGGTCCAAATCTGCCAACATTTGCAGATTTGAAGAACCATCTGCGCAAGGAGCCGCTTTACTTCCAGGTATTGGAAGGATACCTGCAAAATACGGCCAAACTGGTATGTTTAATTTTGGTCTTGGATTTATTTACGGTATTATTCATTGAACTCTCTATTAATAATTGATTGGTATGATTTTTCAGATTGAGGATTTGAGGGAGAAGTTGGACAATGAAACGAATGAAGTTTCAACGGCAGACTTGAGAATCCGCCCAAGTCCTCCGCCATCTCGGGAACAGATAGAAACGTTCCATCAATCCGGGGAATCCAGTGCGATCTGGAGCGGGAAGCAGAAAATGAGGACCAGATCGCCCTCCACCTTCTCGAACAACAACAACAAGCTTTAGAGCAAGAGGAAGAACCAGTGCCGGCCGGCACTGGTAGACGCTCATGAGAGCTGTGAGGAGGTGGAGGAGATGGCGGAGGAGAGGCAAGTACCGCACGATTAGGAAGGTCTGCGGAAATTCCAGAACGCAGTGAAGCGGAAAGCATTCGCGAAATAGCACTGTAAGTTTCATTTCTAGCAATAAGAGTAATTAACTCTTCATAACTGCCTGAGTTTTTGAATCAAAGCAATAAGTTTAGCAAATGACTGCATTTGATGAGCAGTTAAGCTTACAAGAAGTAGTTAAAAAACACTGAAATTTTGATATCTTATAATAAATGTATTTCAGGCGTTCACGGACGATACGGATTCCACAACGTGAGGCAAAGCCAGTAGTGCCGGAATCCTTTCATGCGCCGGCAGTGGAAGGTTTACCGGCGTGGTACCAACAACTGCTGGTGAGGCCACCGATTGACCCATACGTAGTTATTCGAAATGCTGATGGGTCAACCACAATTGGTAAATTTAAATTTATTTTATTAGTGCATTGAAAAGCTTTATGTGAATGATTTGAACGAGTCTAGTACGAATTTATTTTCATAGTGTGGAATTTGTCCGAAGGAATTCGGAACTTTGAAGGGATGGCGAATTCACGCCAGCAAAGTGCACAAAAAAAAAATGGTAAGTTTATTTTCAATCTTTAGTGCTACCTGCTTAAGTATGAGTAATTTTTGAAAGATTTACCTATTAATGTAATATATCTATTTCAGGCTTCTGTCAAAAATGCGGCCATTTCGTCGATATGCCGCATGTTCGCTCTGATGACGAAATTACAGTCATGATGGAGCTACATGCTTTGGAATGGTGCCCTAGGGCCACGAAGGCTGTTATGAATGACAGAGCTATTAAACGACGAAGACTTGAGTTGGTGGGTAGAAACGAAGAGGCCGAGCACTACTATATTCCCAGTAAGTAAAATGTTCCTGTCTAAATGATTCAAATATAAGAAATTATTGAAAAAATTATTTTAAAAATTGAAGATTCATTCAACCTTTATCTTTTTTCAGGTGCCTAATAATAATGAAATCTCTACCCAAGCCGCAACTCAATCGATGCACCAATTCAAGAACCATTTCTGTCCAAGTTCGCTCCGCTCAATCAATTTTCTTCTCCTTGCGCAGGTAACCTAATTTACTTACTGGTGGACTGATCTAATTTTTTCGTTTTTTTTTTTTTTTTTTTTTGTTAGTTTTCTGTTATTATGTTAAGTTATTTGTTCTTATTTGGTTACCAATTTATTAGATTTTTAAATTGTTACTAATTTCTGATTTTCATTAACTATTGAAAAATCACAATGAAAAATTTGATTGTCGTCCTTCTATTTAGTGAGATTTTTTCGAATTCAGTTTTCAGCCATTTGTAATTTCGAAAAAATTGCGCTTCTCTTGCACATAGCTTTTGATCCTTGATGCATTAAATTCGAATTTGGCTCTTTAAATTTCTTTATTTCATTGTGATTTTTATTTTTAATTATGTAATTCTACTTTTTTCATGTTTGATTTGTTTATTAATATGTCGAAAGTAAAAAAAAAAAGGAAAAAAGTAAAAAAAAAATAAAAAAATAGAAAATATAAAGAAAAAAAAACAAAAAATGAAAAAAGAAAATAAATAAAAACAAAAAATAAAAAAAACCCAAAAAATTAAAAAATCAAAAAAAAAACGAAAAAAAAAAATTAAAAAAAAGTAAGAATAAATAAAATTAAAATAATAAAAATAAAAGGATTTAATGGCATTATTAATGCTTGGCTTGTTGTTTTATTAATTCTTGAATTTTTTTTTTTGTTTATGTTACTTATCTTTTTACAAAATATTTCTTGTCACTGTCATATTGTCATGTTTCACTTATGCCGTTAATAATTCTTTCTGAATTAGTTTTTTTTTTTTTTTTTCATTCACTTTTTTTAGAGTGCCTT